GTCTCTTCCACAAAAGATGCCTCACTTGCACATAGCGTTCTTCTGATTTTGAAGTCATACATGTGCACATACACACACACTCACATGCACACTCTCTCTCTCACACACACACACTTTTATTTAGAAAAAAATAAAATAGACTTTTTCAAAATCAGAAAAAGTTCAGAATGCCAACTGGATTGATAGCAATGAACAAATCATGTGTTTGAGCTGAAAAATTGTAGCTATTCATCTGTTTACAGGCTTGTACACACACACACACACACACACACACACACACACACACACGGCAGGGAGAGAGACCGGTTGGGAAGAACTGAATGAACAGCATCAGGAGAAGACAAGACACATATGTGAGATGAATATGCTCATAATATGTTGTGCAGATGTATGTAACTGATGAAAATTTTAAAAAGAAAAATTACAGCTAATCTGCGGTTTGTCATCACACACACACACACACACACACACACACACAACACACACACACTCCACTGCCTCAGAGCACTAAAAGATGTCAGCTGTGACATCTAATTCCATGAAGAACTGTGCCTGCGTGAACCTTCACAGACATTTGTCCGCACTGAGCATACTAACTTCACTGTTTTTACTGCCCAGAGCAACTTCCCATGCTCAACCAGCCATGGAACTCATTCCCCAGTGAGACATGGCTGGCAAATCCATCCCCTCACTGTGAGAACAGGCTGAGCCCCAGACTGATTCCAGTACATTGTTAGGAAATGCAAGGTAAGCCAATTGTCCCCAAGGGGGACACCTGATCTCACATGTGGAAACTGTGGGCATGTATACCTGGTAGAACGCATTAGTGGGCATGTGTAGAAAACACCCAGCTCACAGGACCCACCCAGAGCTCTCATATGCATCTCTCTGGCTTAAAGGATTCGGTGAAGGCAGCATATGAAAGAGCAGGGCTTTGGACATCACATGTGGAAAATGCCTCAGCTCAGACTCAAAAGGCAGACAATAAAAATGGGTTTGTAGATGTTTGCCTTGCACACGTGAAATCCTGGGTTAGATCCCCAGAACCCCATAAACCAGATGTGGCATAGGCCTGTGACCTCAGTACTTGGGCAATGTAGACAGGAGACTCAGATGTTCAAAGTCATCCTCAGGCTGCACAGCAAATTGAAGGCAAGTCTGGGTTACATCAGTGAACACATTACCCATAAAGTGTTGATACCGATAATAAAGAATTTCTAAAAGCAGTAGAGAAGGGACAAATATAAAAATTCAATTTCCCCAATGAAGACTAATTCAGACCACGCAGGCAACCAGCCAAGCCATTCTTGCAATTCTATTAAGTTGGCAAAAACAGGAGTTTTTGAGTTTGCCTGAGTTATGGTCAACATAACCCTCATTTCACCGGACAATGGGCTGCCTCAGTCTGCCGCAGCCTGCTCATGGTGGCAGTTCACGGACACAGCTATGCAGCCATGCAAATGAAAGGAAACATGCTAAATTCCTGACCCCGTCAAAAAAAAAAAAAAAACAAAGCCAGTGACTTACTGGCTTAGCTGTCACCATCTGCTATTGCTTTGTCCGCAGCAACTTGTCTCTAAGTGCACATTCATGGCACCTGCCAGGCATCACAGTCCTTTCAATGTGCGGATCTCAATGTTATCAGTAACCAAAGGAATGCTTGCTGCTCCCCGGGCAGCATGCAGTGATGGTGTCCAACTAATAATGTTCCTAAAAATGAGATGTGGAACATATCAGGTGGTGATCACAGCTATGAAGAAGAAAATGAGACAAAGAATACAGATGGTGACAGTGTGAGATCTGTTGTTCTGAACAAAACTCCCAGGGGCGCACTTATAAGACATGTTCAGTTCATTAGCTCACTGCAGCAAGAGAGAACGCTCTCTGCTGGCATCTTCGCCTAACGCAGAGAGCATCCAAAACACTTGAAATATTGCAACTGCGTTGGGTAATTGGGGACAGTGCAAAAGAGCAGGGGCTGCCTTTGGGTTGAGCAGGGTCAGGAGTGTAGTTCCATGGTGTCTCTCTATTGAGATAGGGCATTAGCCTGCAGGTGGTTGTACACACCTTTAATCCAGCACTCAGGAGGCAGAGGCAGGAAGATCTCTGAGTCCATGGCCAGGTTAGTCTACAGAGTGAGTTTGAGGTTGGCCAGGACTACACAGAGAAACCCTGTCTCAAAAAGAAAACAAACAAAAAGAACAAACAACACCAACAAAAAGATAGGGCATTAAAAAGACCAGGCTGGTCCTTGAAATACCAACGATGACCTTCAAGTCTTGATCATCCTGACTCTACCTCCCACGTGCTAGGGTTACAGGTGTGTACCACATCTGGCTATCTATGACTGGTTGTCTTGATTCCACTTGAAGGTGGGAGAAGGAAGCAACCGTCTTCATAGCCATCATAGAGACATGTAGCCACGTGCACAGCTTAAACAATGCATTCTGACAGTGTCGCAAAGAGATTTGTTTTTGTCTTGATCCACCCAAGATACAGAGTGGCCTTATGGAAAGCAGGTATACTGTGACATTTTTATGTTAAACAGGAGAGCGCCACTGCCAAGCTGGGAATGCTGTGCTGACTCCTTCATATCAGGAGGCTGCTGCTTTTTCTCAGGTCGATTCTCACTCAAGCTCCCAAGATACTACTGATAGTGCTCTTTTCTTATTAGATCAGGAAACTAGAGCTAAAAAGATGGCCCATTGAGTAAAGACCTTGACAGATTAACCTTGACACCTCAGCCCCATCCCTGGAAATGAAGTGAAGGTGGAAAGTGAGAACTGGGTCTATAAGGCTGGCCTCTGCCTCTGCACACGGCACCATTGCAAGTCTGCTCCATCCCCACATCTCTCTCTCTCTCCTTCCCTCTCTCTCAGCACACACGTGCACATGCACACATGCGTACACATATGCATACACATGCACTTGATTTATTTGGTTGCTTACTAATACATATATATGTGTGTGTGCGCACGTGTGTGTGTGTGTGTGAGAGAGAGAGAGAGAGAGAGAGAGAGAGAGAGAGAGAGAGAGAGAGAGAGTATACTATCTATGCGTGCATGATGTGTTCAATTCAAAAGAGTGTTGGATCCCCTGGAGCCGCAGTTACATGCAGTTGTGAGGCTCCAAACAAGTGTGCTGGATCCTCTAACAACAAGTATCCTTAATCAGTGAACCATCATCCCTCCAGCACCAGTAAAAAAATAAATAAAAATAATACAGTAAAAATAAAATAAATCAGGAAACTACATGTTATGTAGCTATTTCCTTCTAATAAAAACCTTCACTCTTAGAGAGGTCACAGAGGAAGATTCATAAGACTATTGAAGTGTAGAAAGTTACAAGATACAGGAAGTACACACACACACACACACACACACACACACACACACACACACACACACACACACACACACAGTTTTATACAAACAACTGCTGGAGGAGAGGCTGCCCCAGGCTGAGCAGAGCTCCAGGGACGTAGCGTAGGAAAGTCATCACCACCCATCCATCCATGCTGAAATGAGCTGGGATGTAGCTGCCTTTGAGTTACCCACACTCCTCTAAGTAACTGTAACAAAATCATTGGTTCACCAAGCTAAAGTTGGTTGGAATACTTTCTTTGTCGCTTGTGCCTGTCTGAACTGCACAGGATTCTGTTCATGTCTCCCTAGGAAAAGTCATACAACATTACGGTCCAGGAAGGATAAAGACTTCTTCTAGAGAAAAAACAAAAAAGAAAAAGAAAAAAGAAAACCAGGAAGTGAATTCAGGAATTCAGGGGACCTACCTTCCTTTTCTGTGTCTACTTGACACAGCTAAAGTCATCTTAGCAGAGGGAATCTCAATTAAGAAAGTGTCTCCATAAGACCAGGCCGTAGGCAAGCCTGTAAGGCATTCTCTTAATTAGTGATTGATATGGGAGGGCACAGTCTATTGGGGATGGTGCCATCACTGGACTGGTGGCCTTGGGTTTTATAAGAAAGCAGGTTGAAGTTCCAGGCCAGCCTGGTCTACAGAGTGAGTTCCAGGACAGCCAGGACTGTTTTACAGAGAAACCCTGTCTCAAAAGAAACAGAGAGAGAGAGGGAGAGAGAGAGAGAGAGAGAGAGAGAGAGAGAGAGAGAGAGAGAGAGAGAGAGAGAGAGAGAGAGAGAGAGAGAGAGAGAGAGAGAGAGAGAGAGAGAGAGAGAGAGAGAGAGAGAGAGAGCAGGTTGAGGTTGAGCAAGCCATGGAGAGCAGTCTGTGGCCTCTGCATTAGCTCCTGCCTCCAGGTTCCTGCCCTGATGAGTGCCTGTCCTGACTGCCTTCCATGATGAGATGAGTTGTGATGCGGAAGCAGAAGCCAAATAAAGCCCTGCCCTCCCCAATTGGCTTTTGACAGTGATGTTTCATCACACCATAGAAACCAATTTTGTGCATGCCTTTAATCCCAGCACTCGGGAGGCAGAGGCAGGCGGATCTCTGTGAGTTGGAGGTCAGCCTGGTCTACTGAGCGAGTTCCAGGAGAGTCTCCAAAGCTACAGAGAAACCCTGTCTCAACACACAGATCCACACACAGATCTCTCCATCTCTGTCTGCAGATTGGAAACTCCTTGGCAAAGCCTTGTCCTCAAAGAGGACGCAGGGAGGGTCAGATGGTACCTGCAAAGCTTGAGGAAGAAGCCATCACCAGCAGACACTCATTGCCTATGCCAGAGGATATGTAAATGTTCAAGAAATTAAGTCACATGGTCACCATCAAAGCAAACATATTTATCTCCTAGGGGAGAGGAAACATTTTCTGACTTATTTAAATCAAAAGGCTTATATTTCTAGAACAATCAAAACAAGTTGATTCAGCAATTTAGGAACTATAACCAAGGTTTTAAATACTGAAAAAAGCACATTAAAATAGCATAATTCTCTCAAACATAAAGGTAACAGCATGAAGTAGCTGCTATTCATTCTATCCTGCATTTTATAACCCCTCTCCTGCAACAGCAAAACTCCCGGCTTACCAGAAGGTTTTCCGGTTTCAGATCCCGGTGCACGATCTTCTTGTCGTGCATGTGGACGAGGGCCTTGCACAAGTCTGTGATCATGAGTGCGGCATCGGGCTCTGGAAACTTCACACTCTCTATGATGGCATCAAAGAGGTCTCCTCCCTGAACGTACTCCATGATCAGGTAGATCTCTGCTTGGGTTTCGTAGACCTCGTGCAGTTTCACTATGTTGGGATGACTGAGACTCTGAATGATTAAAATCTCGCTGTCCACTATGTCCTCCTTACCCTTCAGCTTGGACTTGTCGATAATCTTCATGGCGAAGGCCTGCTTGGTCTCGCGGTGCTTGCACTCTTTCACGATGGCAAAGTTCCCGTCCCCAATGACGCGGCCGATTTCATAGTGCTTCCCCACATCCGCTGAGATGATGCCCAGCGGCCGCAGCTTCCGGCCACTGGGCCGTTCTGGCTTGCTCTCTTCCAGCTTCGTCCTTGGCTCCTTTTCTAGCCCCATCCTCCTTCCTCCTGACCCCCCTGGCTTCTTCTCATGCTCCGCTTCCTTCTCGTCCCCTCGGGTCCTGGGAAACTGCGGGGGTTCGGCCTGGTGCTCCCTCAGCAGCCAGGCTCCGCCATGCTTGTTCCTGCATGTGTGCCTGGTGTCTTTCCCCTCCGGTACGGCTGGGGGACCTTCCGCGAGGTCCTTCTGGCCCTTGGCTGCTCCTTGGGGGTGGCTTTCCTGAGGTTCCGAGCCTCTGTTCTCTTTCTTGTCTGAGCTGTGGCTGGGTCTCCTCAGCTCCTGAGGGGGCTCCCTGGGGCTGCTCCGATGGCTGTCGGCCTTCCAGGCCTCCTCTCCATCCGTGGAGTTCGCCTCTGAAGCCCTCCTGCAGCTCTTGGTCCTCACCAGCTTCTCTGAATCCCACTTGTGACCCCTCCCCAGGTCCAGCTCACTGATCCCCAGAGGACGCTGCTCCCTCTGCAGGCCCAGCTGCAGCTCCCGCTCTCCCTTACACTTCTCACACCTGACCATCTCCCCCGAGGTCTTTTCAATCTCCACCCCCAGGTGCTTCTCCCCACCGGCAGGAGTCTCCTCCGGAGTGGCCTCCCTGGGTGGTGGCAGGGCACCAGGTTCTGGCTCCTGCTTGGCTCTGACCCACGTCTTCGGGGCCCTCACCTTGTCTTCCAGAGCCAGCTCTGCAGAGGTCTTGCCCTGAGGCCTAGTGACTGCCCTGCTCCTCACAGCCTCACTACAGCTCCCGGCCTCCCCACAGCGGTGGCCTCCTCTCTGAAGTTTGCTGGGAAGTCTGCTTCTCAGCCTTGGGGAGGGGGCTCGGCTGTGTGGGGCCAGGGCAAGGGCCCGGTTCTTGGGATACAGCTCCTCCACAGCCAGCTGGATGCTCTTCAGGGTCAGAGGCTCTTTGCCCATGGCTATGAAGGCATCACCCTCCCTGAAGAAGTCAGACACACTCTTGACTTCCCTGCCCTTGAGGGTGAACAGCTTGCGCACGCGGTCATTCTTCCACCGGGGAAGGCCCAAGGCTTCAGAGATGTCCGCTAGTAGCTGCTCAAAGGTCTGCACCGACCGCCTGTTGAGGAGCAGGGTGGCCTTGCGGAGGGGCTGTCCCCCCAGCTTCACCACCGTCACCACCCTGGGCTTCAGAGGGCTGTGCTCAGCGCGGACTGCGTGAAGACCACTCTGAGGACTGAACAAGGGCATGACGACACCGCGGGTCCCCAGGCCTGGTTTCTCCAGAGGTCCTCGCCCCGCGGGCAGCCAGGAGGCTTGCAGCTTTCGCTCAGAAATCCTCGAGCTTAAGCATTTTAGAGACTGGTCACTCGGGCCTCGGTGGCCTGCAACAGAAAAAGGACAAAGGAGGTTAGTCAGGGTGGGGTTTGAACCCTTTGGACTTCATCAGGCTTGGCTGGTGACGGCAATGGAGATGTAGCTCAGTCACAGAGCAGTTGCCCAGCACATGAGCGCACCTGGGCTTCACGTCCCGGCTGCAAAACATGTGTTTATCTCTTCATTTAAAAAATAAGATGTATCTGAGTGTAATAAAAGTGTAATTAGCATGTACAATGTACAAATCCCTGGATTATTCTATCCCAGCACACACACACACACACACACACACACACACACACACACACACACACACACACAAAGGCCAGTACAGCACCACAAGCTTGTAACCCCAGCACTGGCGATGCTAAGGCAGGAAAATTTCTGTGAGACAAAGGCTAGAGCCTGACTTCCAGGCTAGCAGGATACAAAATGAGACCTTGTCTCCAGTCAGTCAGGCCCATCAGCACAGGCTTCTCATCATAGCACTTGGGAGGCAGAGGCAGGTGGATTTCGTTGAGTTAAAGCCAGCCTGATCTACAGAGTGAGTTCCAGGCCAGGTAAGAGATACATAGTGAGATGCTGTCTCAAAAAAGGAAAAAAAAAGTGTGGTTAGAGAGATGGCTCAGTGGTTAAGAGTGCTGGCTGCCCTTCCAGGAGATTCTTGGCGCTGGAGTGACAGCATTCCTATAGTGGCTCACAACATATTGTTCTAGAGGATCCAATATATGTACCTCCTTGGCCACCAGGCATGCATATGGTGTACATATTTTCACAAAGGAAAAAAACCCATACATATAAAATAATAATAAAATTAGTTTTAAAAGGCTAAAAGCAAGGGGACAGGAGAACTGGCCCAGTGATTAAGAGCTCAAACTGGTCTTGCCGAGGACCAGAGTTCAGTTCCCAGCACCCACGTCTGGCAGCTCACAACCACCTGTGACTCCGGCTCCAGGGGATCCAGTTCCTTCTTCTGGCTCTTGGATACCGAGAATCACATTTGCACAACCCCACATACACACACACACAAATATTTTGAAATGAAACAAAACTATTCTTAAAGTAACTATACTGTTCAAGCTTTCAGAGTGATCACCTGTAAATGTACTTGGATCAGCCGCAGCAGAAACCTCACTCATGTGGGGATGGACAGCTTGGCCCACAAGTCCACACAGAATGTGTTTTGTTTTTTAATTATAACACACAATCTGTTCTGAGACAATTTCTATCCAGGCACATTGTCGATCAGATGACAAGTAGTAACTGGCACCGATCTTCCCACATGCCTCGAATTTATGAGCTTGACAATCACAGTTACAGTTGAGGGATCTATTTACGGACACCTGTTATACTTCCCACAGTCACCCTGCCCCCCATCGGAGGCAGCAGGAGCACTGACCTGAACTCCCTGCATTGCGGACCTGAAGAAGGTTTATGAGGGTTGGTGACTGTGAAATGCATGTGTCTGTTTGAAGGGCCAGTGAAGAGCAGAAGAAAATAAAGACATTTGTTTTCTTATGCTTTTCATATAGGGTAGGACCTTGATTCAGACCTATCAGATTCTTGGTTGAGAAGTCAAAGTCTACGAACAGAGAATGGTTATTGCAGCCAATATCCCAGACAAGGGCTTTACCAGGTAGGAGTAGAGAAAGGGCAGGGTAGCTCAAAGGACCAAATATTGGCTAGGATCAGACACCACCCCCAGAAAGCCAAGAGGCAGACCAAAGGCAAATATCAGAAGGAGAGGAGTTGACTTGAGCCCTCAGAAGTAAATGGGGTGGGGCCCCCAGTAGAGGGGCCCAGGACCCTGTCATGAAGTTGGGCAAGTTGTCCATGTGGTCCTGGGGTTACCACAAATAAAGGCAAAACTCAAGGTGGGGCAGAAAATTCCAGTCATTTGGAGAAATGATCAGTCTCTACATGACAGTGTCAAACCAAGGGATGACACAAGCCTCGACTGGGGAAAAACTGTGTTGGAAGTGGGAAAATAGCAAACTCTGAAACAGCCCTGAGAAGCTAAATTCCCAGCCCTGCCTTCAAGATCCATGGGCTTTGCAGAAGTGTCCTTGAGGACAATCAGGCAGACAAAATCCATAAGCACACTGGTGAAGGTGGACATTCATCATGGAAGGAGGCTTAGAAAGACCCCACCCCAGAGAGAGGTCTTAGATGGTGCATCAGGGTGGTGTAAAGTGGTACCCATGAAACAGGACAAGCACTGGATGGCCTCCACACTGGAGAGCAACTTCTTAGGATAATGGAGATGTGCACCATAATGGGACCTGCATTCTCAAGCGCCCAAACATTAGAAGTGCGTAATGTGGGTCTTCTGATGGGCAGCTTGAACCCAGACCTGGATGGAAGAGGATGGAATGTCAGGATAGCTGTATTTAAACATTTTCAGAAGACTCTGCCCAAAGCTTTCATGGATCCTAGGACGTGAGGAGAGCAAGCTGATGGTACCACACCTCTGAGCCAAGAAGACAACCCAGGACACAGTCAAACAGAATGTAAAGACAGAGCAGTTCAGTTTCTACAGCAGAGCATCATTATGCCGGGTTCACTACCTAGACACCCAGATCACTGGAAGTCTGAAGGAAGATAGAGAACTCTGTCCCTCACCCTCCCAGCAACACCAGAGCCTCCAGAGTTCTGGGTTCAGCAAGGAACTAGGGAGCCCCAGGGAAAACGCAGCTGTGTTAGTGACTGTATTGTTGCTTTTCCTGTAACTGTGACAGAATACAAGTCAGGATGACTTAAGGAAGGGAAGGTTTACTTGGGCTGGGGATACAGTCCACCATGCTGGGGAAAACCATGGAAGATGGAGGATGAGGAAGCTGGTTACATTCTTCCTATAGTCAGAAAACAGGAAGAGATGAAGGCTGGTGTCCAGTCTGTTCTGCTTTTCAGTCATGACCGCAGCCCATGGAGCGGTACTGTCACAGTCCCTGCAGATCACAACCCCCACCCCACCTCAATTAGCCTGACCATGTCCTCGAGAACACGGGAATAGATTTGTCTCCTAGGCGACTCTAGACCCTCTCAGGCTGACAATCAAGACCAACCATTGAGCCCTTTTTTGCCACAAATAAGAGTGTCACTGTTTTGAGCACCAAGCATCATCACCTAGCAGACCTGCTGAATGGATTGCAACTGGAGGGAAAAGAATTTGTGACCAGACGTTCATCTTCCACAAGGAAAAACCATCAAGGAAAGTGTGTTAAGGACAACTAGGCATCGCATGTGAAGTCAGAAGACCTCCACTAAATACCGAATCCTGAGTCTCATTAGCTGAGTGCATTCAGGAACATCCTACAATCCCTCCGAGTTTCAGCTTTTCTGCCTGCCTGTCATTCTGTCAGTTTGGAAGACAAAAGTTCACTGAGGAAATGCCTTCATCAGACTGGCCCATAAGCATGTCTGGGTGACATTTTCTTAATTGACTAACATGGGAGGGCCCAAGCCTGCTGTGGAAGGTGCCACCCCTAGGCAGATAGGCTGTGTAAGAAAACCAGCTAAATGTGAGCCTGGGAGCAAGCCAATGAGCAATGTTCCCCCGTGGTCCCTGCCTCTGCTCCTGTTTGCATCCCTGCCCCAACTTCCTTCAGTGAAGGACTGTAGTCAGGACCTGTGAGCCAAATAAACCCTCTCCTCCTCAAATTGCTTTTGGCCATGGTGTGTACCACAGCACTGGAAAGCAAAGTAGGAAGTGCCAAACAGCCATAATGTCTCATTCACCCCGAGGGAGCTGGCGCCCTGCTCTGCCTGCATGTGTTTTCCAGTGGTTTTCCACATTCTGAAAGAAAATGTGTCCTGCAAGCTTGAGTTTCCCTCAGATACACAAAAACCTCGGGGTCAAAGAGAAGAGATGCTAAGTGTGGTCCAGTAGGATAAATTTGCCATTCATGTATAACTGAAAGAGAGATCCAACAAATGTAAGTTCATAAGCCTTCTTGTAGGATAACCCAGTATCCTGCTCACAGCCCCTAGGATGCCCCAGTACTGGTATGAACAAGGACGCCCAGTACCTAAACCAGCTTGGTGTGACATTATGCTCTGGGATTGGTTTGACTTCAAACTCCATGTCTATCACCTGCTGATGCCACTCAGATGAGTTCACATAACATGATTCCGTGGCGACTAGCTCTGGCAATCACACTGAGTTTCCTCTCTAATTATTTGTCACTACTTATATTTAGAAGACAAGCTGCCAATCACCAAGTATATAATCAAGACAAAACTAACATGAGCCTAATGTTTTTACACTGTCTTTTATTTTTTAATCACAAGGGGAGTTTACTTTTGTCTGGCCATTTTTTAGTCATAACCCATATATCTAATTCAAACAAGCAAAAGGACCCAGGTTTGATTCCCAGCACCCATATGGTGGCCTACAACCTCCTGTAACTCCAGTTCTAGGGGGTCAGTCTCTTCCCACACCAGGCACTATGTGGTGCACAGACATAGACTCAGGGGAGACAACCACACACATAAAACTTGAATTACTTTTAAGAAGGAGGAGAATTACGCCCAGTTGCTGGAGGACATAGATTAGAGGCACACGGGAGAGTTTGGTGTGTCACCAGTGACGACAGTGTGTAAAACACAGTGCGGCACTTTGGTTTTCTTTGTCAGTGTTTCCAGCTTCCATCATTTGGGTGCTGGCTAGGTTTCCCACCTACAGAATGGTAGCGTTTCCACAGCTTACTGTGAGGCCATGTTCCAGCTTTTAAAATTCATTTAGGAAACTCTCCTTGGGGTGTTTGCATTATCAAATGTGACTTCACAGATGTTTCTCTGATTGGATATCCACAAGTGAGTAGAACGAGTTTGTTCCCAAATGGTGTCTGGAAAATGCCCAGAACAAACGACTCAGTAAGAAGGAAAATTTCTTCCAGTCCCCTCCGTCTCTGCCTGCTAAGTGAATGGTCTCAGTACCGAATCTGGAGCCTACAGTGATTAATCTGGGGAAATCACCAAGAACTGAAAAGCAGATAACGGGAAAGTA